AATGTGAAAGGTTTCTTTGTTTTGTTTCTAGGAATAACCAAAAGGCATTTGACTACAATTTAATCTTCATTGAAAACTAACTAATCCCATGCAATTAACCCAAAAAGACCCTTCGAACTCAACATCCCACGCCACTATTTAGCATGAATGAACCTAATTCGACTCAAACCAACCACAAAAGAACAGAACAAGAGTACACAATGACTGATGGATCTTCATCATCATCAAACCCAAAGATGGACGTGGATGTGTTGGTAGATGAATCCTACTTCTCTGCTTTATTCGATTACGAAGAACTTTTCCCAATCTCCGACGAGACCTACGCAACGGTGCTTCATCTCCAAGAAGCTCTCTTCTCTTCATTGATCGCTTCAACGGTAGAGATCAATCACAATCCCCAAGTGATTCACAGGCATCTCGCCACTCAGATTAAACAAGAACCAGGGATCAAGATCGAGAACGAATCCTCCGAACAATGTAGAAGGTTATGCATGATCTGCATGGACGAAAAACCTACCTCCGACATCTTCCGAGGAACCATTAACTGCACTCACACCTATTGCTCCGAGTGTACCATCCGTTACGTGGCTACCAAGATCAAAGAAAACGCACCGAGGATCAAATGCCCTGACGTGGAGTGCACGCGACTCTTAGAGCCGTACACGTGTCGTGATCTGATCCCGAGGGACGTTTTCGAGCGTTGGGAGAAAATCTTGTGCAAATCGTTGATCTCTTCTTGGGACAAACACTACTGTCCATTCAAAGACTGTTCGGCTATGATGGTCGTTGACGATGGAAGCAATGCTAACGTGACGCAGACCGAGTGTCCTTCATGTCACAGACTGTTCTGCGTGCAGTGTAAGGTGACGTGGCACGCTGGGATTGGGTGTGAGGAGTTCCAAAGATTTGGGAACTCGAAGAAGAAGAGTAGTGATGAAGAAGATGCTATATTGATTCAGATGGCTAAGAGTAAGCAGTGGAGAAGGTGTCCTAGTTGCAAATTCTACGTTGATAAAGTCGATGGCTGCTTGCATATAAGTTGCAGGTCAGTGTTCTATTATTCATTACAATTCATATTGTTAGGAAATGTTTCAATTATTTTGTTTTTCTTTTATTATTTTGTAGGTGTGGATTTCAGTTTTGCTATGGTTGTGGATCGGCGTGGAATTCTCATCACGCATGTCGAATCTAAAAGCCAATCGATGCATAATTCGAATAATTTATACGCCGTATTTATGTTTTCAAAATGTTCTAATTTCGATTTTAAATAATTTTATATCCAAACTAAGGTTATTGATTGGATGCCAATGAGTTTTTTAATTTATTTTTGCCGACAAAGAGCCAAGGAGCTTCTTTTGCTATACTGGATTTGAGCCTGTTAAAAGCCCATCATACTAAATTACAAAATTTTGGTTATTGGCCGATGTATTCTTACAAAAATTTAAAATTTTTAAAATCCATTGTTATTGGGTTTATGGATTATGACATTTTTAATAAAATTTTTTATTATTGATGACTTTTAATTGCTATTCAAAATCCATTATTTTCAAAAAATAGTTTTTATAGATTTTATAAATCTAATAAAATATAGTGTTATTAGTATATGAATTTTTTTATAATTGTACTCATTAAATAAGATTTTAAGAATACATTGGAGAATCATTGGACTCTTAGAATTCTTATAACTAAATTTTTAAATACACACAATTCCCTACAAATTAAATATAATCTTTTGACTTTGGAAATCAATCAATTCATGGGAATTCCCAATAAACCAGTTAGGAGTGGTATTGAACGAGAGAAATAAGAAGAATTTGAAAACAACTGATTTTAAATGATTTTATAGAATCTATCGAAATCCCAGCAAAAAAAAAGGTGGAAAGTGGTTCTTTACAATTTTTATTGAAATTTTATTAAATTCCAATACCATAAATACTGTAGAATAAATAAATAACACTAGCATTTGTTAAAATTAAGATTTTAGTAAATTGAATAACATAAGAATTTAAATTTTTTTATAAAATAGATAATTAAATAACGATGAATTTTGATAGAATGTTCAATTCTTTCGAAATCAATTAAATTCTTGAATTGAATATCACCTTAGCCTACATTCATTTTTTTTCCCTATGAAACTAAATAATACTTAATCATAAATGACAGATTAAATAATAATTACGGTTTCAAAAGGTCGAAGGATGATTCAAAAAGCTAAAGGGTCAATTTTGTCTCGCTTTTGAGATAGCTCTCACTCATTACTAGACTTCCTCCTCCTTCTCCACAGTCAATAATTGGATATGGCTTAAGAAAAAATCTTTTATATTCGTTTCTCCAAATTCTCTATTCTAAACCAGATCCAATTATTGAGTATCTGGATAAGTTTTCTTAAGTACCTGGTTTAAACTATTTTAAAGATTTTTTCTTAAGTATCCTTTTTTTTTTGTTAAGAAACAAGAACATATAGTTTCAATAATTTTAACAAACTACAGGATGTTCGCCTGAATAAATCTATAAAAAAATAATAATACAATGAACCTACTTTTTGTCCGTATCACCCACGAATACAGTTGAATGGGTACATTTCTTTTTTGCTGTAAACTTAGTTTTTCGTTTTATTATAGACTTTTTTTTTTTTACATGCTATTGTATAAAAATAAAATCCAATAGCAGAAAAGAACAAAAACACGTGAACATCACTGCTTTTGGACCCTGGGAGTTTTAAAATGCATTGGAATATACTGCATATAGGAAAAATAACAATGGTTCAATAATACAATAAACATAGACCTACTCTACTCAGGTAGATTTCTATGGAACATGGACACATCGTAACTCGTATTTATTGTGCTTCAAATCATCAAATGTCAAATATATCGTGTAAACAAGGTCCAGTTCCAGTATGCTCATTTTAAAATTTAAATATATTTTAGAAATTATATAAATAAAAATGGTATTATTTCGTGGTTAAAAATAGTTAATGATGTTCAATTTGGATTTAAATTCATTTTTTTATATAAAATAATATTTTTTTATATTTTTCGTTTGTTTTTACTAATTCTAATTTCATTAATAACATTGACAATAAATTTATTTACAATTTTTTTTAATAACCAAGTAAGATTTTATTTTTTCTAAACATTTCTCTATTTCTATTGATGTTATAGTGTCAATCTTGCCGTTAACTCATTGCACCAAATTACTGTGTGAAAATTATTTTATAACTAGAAAATTTGACTTTTTTTTTGGTCAATTGTGGAGGAGGAGGAAGTTATAAATTTGACAAAACGATGATCAATTGTCTTAAATTTGAATAATTGGTTTTTGATAATTTTTATATTTATTTTGTTCAATATCTATTTGGTTAAATCCGTGTGAATTATTCTATTTGTGAATAAAAATATCTACGATGAATAATATTGTATGGTTTAATATTGGTTTGTATTTGCATTTTAATCAAAATATCCTTTATTCGAATAGGTTTTAAATCAATATTATTTTTTGTTATATTTAATATTGAATTTGGACATTTAGATTAGATAA